GTATTGCACTCGGTTTCTGTGTCTTTTTGTTATAGTCCCTTATATGTTCGCGAAATCTTGTTTTTATTTTCCGTCCTGTTTGACCTATATAACTATGCTGGCATTTGCAAGTTAGTTTATACACTCCTTGTTTATCCAATGGGTCTTCTCGATTTGTGGTGTTCCGTAGTATCCGTCCTACGTTGTTATTTGTTTTGAATGATGTGCGAAGGGTGTGTTTCTGGAACGGCTTTGCTAGTTTGTACGTTGGAAAATTATCGGAAATTCGTTCCAAAATAAATCATATTACAATGTTTCCACCGGACAACGCCAATGCTAGATAGTAACATTAAACAAATCTTCCTTATACCTATATTTTTATCTATGTAGGTTCTCAACTAAGAGCTTCGGCAGAGGTTGAATACATGTCCTCTGACAGTGACGACGACGACGTACTTTTGTCTTCATTGGCTAAAAGGAGTCGAACCACCGAAAAACCCCTCACTGAAAACCTGAGCCTTATGTGTTATTTCACATTCAAATTCAGGTCTAGCCAACCAGGGCATATTTTGGTTTGTAAGTGGAATGACAATAGCGTGGTGACAGTGGTATCAAATTCTGAAACCATAGAACCTTTTCATAAAGTGAAACGATTTTCAAAGCAGCAGAAGAAATACGTATATACTGATTTATCAGCTAGCGATTATAAAAAGTTACAACCAAAACATGGGTGGGGTCGATAGGTTCGATCAAAACATCGGTCTTTATCGTCTATTCGTGGCAAGAAAGGGTTTTTTTTTTCATTATTTTCTCACTGCTTGAACATGGCTATTCACAATGCATGCAAAAAGTAATGGAAGATAGTACGATCATCTCTTATTCTGGAGAACTGTCGCCAGAGGTATCTTGGAAACACATAAAAATAGTGAGAATCGCAGTCCTTGCCCCACTCCTAGAACTCATAGGGAAACTTCACGTTACGGCAAGATTGATAATCTAATAGAGTAAGTTAAGGCATGATACCGAAACCTAATATAGCAACAGCATTTCGTTGCACATACCTCACATACCCTACCGCTTTTTCTGTCGGCCCAGTGCTGACATCTAAGCTCAGTCGATGCAGCCTGACAACAGACTAGTATGATGTGATCACTTGCCTACAAAAACCCCATTGCCAACAGCCCCAATATGCTCGCCACTTGCCTAACAAAATTCATTGTGATATTGTTGCCTTTTATAATAACAACAAATTATCACAGCATAGCAACATCAATGCTCGAGTTTGATATGCAGCCCAACACCAACAAACATGATGATCACTACCTGCGCTTACCTTAGCGACAGCATGCTGGGCAGGCAGCGCAAATAGAAAGACTCTCGCCTGGCCTCACAAAACAACCCACTGCATAACAACAAACAGTGATCACTGCTTGCGCTTGGCTTGGCAACAGCATGTTAGGCAGGCAGACCAAAACACAACAATTGTTGTCTGGCCCAACTAACCACTCACTGCATAGCAACACTACATGCGTGAGCTTAGCATGCAGATCAACTGCATGACAACAGCTCGATCAATGCTTGCGCCTGCCCTAGCAGCGTCGTGTTGGGTAGGTAGCCCAAAATGACAACGGTGCTTGCCTGCTTTAGTGAACCACCCATTGCATAGCAACGCATGGTTGACATGCTTGGTAGGCAGGCCAGCGGTACCACTTGTCATGCCATGATATCATGATAGCGGTAGAATCCAAGCGACCTTTTCGCGCAACAATACTTACAGGTGATTACCACTGATCGCGAGGGTATAAAAGGCGGTATCATTGCCTGTTGAGGGGAGTTCTTGTGATGTTAAGGAGTTGCAAAGTCAACTTAAATTATAATTAAAAAGTTAATAAAGTGTTTAATTCAAACAAAGTGTTGAGTATTTTATTTTATAAGCAATATGACTTGCTTAACTAGTACAATGACTCTCAGCTTCTACGATGTTGGCTTTAGAAAATAAATACAAATTTCTTTATGATCCAATGATCGGATTTAACCTTCTCCTTTTTGTGAAGTCGGTTAATAAACAAGTAATTTTTAAGCAAAAAACAAAACCGACTTCAAATCTCATATAAAAATTAATTAATAATTCTTAATTCTTTAATTCTTTATGATCCAATAATCGGATCTAAACCAGATTACTATGGGTCCACCTCTGAGGCACTACCTTTCTGGTGCAAACGGAGTTGACGTGTTCGAAAGTTATGCGGTAACATACTTAAAAATAAATAAAAAATTAAATAATAATATTCCGACGAATTGATAACCTCTTTTTTTAGAAGTCGGTTAAAAATAAAATGAAATAAAAATGAAGTGAAATAAACATTTTTCATTTTGTGTAAATAGGATACGATCGGCTAACTTGTACTTGTATGAGCAGTTACCTACCCGCTTATTACTACTGATCGTTATAACGATCCTCATTTTCCAAGCTTTCCGGAAAACGCAGATCTTTTTTACTATTTTTCCTGGTTTCCTACATGCATTATGGTTGTAATATCAAAAAATCACGTTGATATGAGACAAAAAATAGTTTCAGTAACAACCGGGTGAACCTGCTGCAGTAGCCAGAGCGAAGTTGGGCTATTGTTGTTCTTGTCTCCCGAGGCAGATGAAGTTCCGTCTCGTCTATGTCCGGTGGTGGTGTGCCTAGAACGGCATTCACAGGTCTAGAG